ATATATATATAAAGCATATTAGCATGGTTAAGAAATATGGGGCTAACTTTAAGTTATTATTTAGGATAAAATATGTTAATTTTGCATCACTAATTTTGCTACCTGTTTTCTAGTGTGCTAGAAGCCCCATAAATTCCTTGCATATATTTAGAAATTAAAAACTGAATAAAATATTTTTATTTCCACCTTTGTGTGTGTGCATTTCTCACTGTATTCAGGATGTTGAAGTGTTAATGAATGACTTGAATCAACTTATAAGGTAGACAAATTTTGGGCAAATGATCTTTAATTACAGTAAGTGCAAGGTAGTGCATTTGGACCAAATATTTGATATAGGAACCAACTGAATAGTGTGGCATAAATAAAAATGATCTTGGCACAGTGGTGGATAAGTCACTCAAGCTATCAAAGCAGTGCTTTGTTGCTAGTAGTAAAGCCAATGACAGATCTCCTAGTGAATCTTTAAAATTTGTATAATTGCTCAAAGAGCCCATATTACTTCATAACAGCCTATTTTTTTTAATGCTTCAGCCTGTAAAGAAATTTATATTGACAGAAAATTTTTGCTTTTGAATGTAAAATTAAGTTATTAGTTGTAGTTGTCTTTCATGTGTGTTGAAGCAGACACACATTGTGGCCAGTGACACATAAATATTCTCATTTGAAATATAAGAAAAATTTCCTCAGTAGTTAGGTAGAAAGTGTGAAATAACTGTTTGATTATTAAATAGCACCTATACAAAAGAGATTTTGCTACAAATAGCTTGTATTTTAGTCAATGTCAGCCTGTAATTTGTCAGATTTAGCTTTCATTTCAAAGGCTGGGAGGCCTGCAATAGAATTTTTGGGTATACCTTTTGACATTAATTCCAGGTAAAAAAGAGAATTATATATCTATACAGATCATTCGTTAGTCATCATTTTGTACAATTTTGGTCTCCATATCTAAGAAAGATCTCATTATTTAGAGGAGTAACTGTTTGGTTGAGGTTTTAGAGGAAGGCTATGAGGAGGATTCCAGGGATGGAAGGATTATCATAAAGCGATTGGCTAAGACCTCTTAACTTACTTGCTCATGAGAAAAAAAGTTTACAAGTTTATCTGGAGGTTTTATAGGATAAAGAGCTTCTGATTTCTTTTTGCTATATTCTGAAGATAATAGGGAAAGCCAACACTTTAAGAGGGGGAGTTAATGATTTGCTGAAAAGTGAAGGGTGGTTTTAATTTTTACTTTTCCAGAGGGTGACTGTGAAAGGACAGTCCTGAAGGACTGAATGATCCCTTGTTGTCCCCAAGTTTTCTGAATTGAGATACGAGTAAAATATTAATTCAGTAACCTATTTCAATTTTGTCTTGCATAATATATTTCACTTCCGCCACTTACCACCATTCTCCAAATGGCACTTATGATGCTGTAATATGTGTATAATTTTTCTTTTTTATTGAATAGAGCAAATTTTAAGCAAAAATATTTCACATACTTGTTTTATTATAGTTTCATAATTACTAAGAAATAATAATAATAGTTGTCAAAAACAAAAAGTTGAACTTTTGACTCTAAAAATTTAAATATTTATCATACATTTGTATCCATATTTCTGAAGAAAAAAAAAGAGAAGTTTCAATAAGTAGTGTATCTTATATTTTGGAAAAAAACAACTTTTCAGATGTTTTTAGTTTAGTTTTATGACATACTTTTTGACAATAGCAAAATATTGAGAGATTATCCATCATTTTTTTTTACGTTTGAACTTAAGTAATTCATGGGACTGCATTTCCTTTTTCTGTTCTCTATAACTGTAACAGTTTTATTAGACTGGCAGGAAGAGCATCATAGATATCCTTTCAGACAAAGAGGATAGTTTGTGATGTGTGTGTGATACAATTGTATGGGCACATTTTCTGCTTCTAAAGTGTAAGAGTACATATAATATGTAGTGTATGCATGTATATATTTTTACTTTATTTTTATTAGCAGGCTAAGAATATTTTGCATCTGTTGAAGACATGGGTGACTTTGTTACCACCACAGTTATAGGTGCTGTGAAGGCTATAGTCTATCTGTATGATTTTGTTTCTCTTCCTGTGTATTTTCTGCTTCAACACCCATGGACCAAGTGGAAAAAACAAACTGTTTGGGTATGTTTAATATAAAATACATAAATATAGACAAAAAAAAAGGATTAGGTATTATAGTCATCCAAGTATTTCCTAACTAATCTAGAAAATTGTGAGCAAAACTACTTTGTTTCTTAGGAGAAAAATGTGTGTGAGTGTTGTGATAGTTGACTGAAATTCTGGAAAAAGATTTAAATGATTTGAACAAGTTCTGACTTTACAATAATTTTCAGATTATTCATTTTTATAAAAAAACGAAAGAAACTGCTGCCTGATTAACTAATTTAATTTCTTGCTGTTGGAAAGTATCATTTAAGTAAAAGTTATTGATATTGAGTTTTGATTTTTGTAAAATGACTAGTCCTTTCTTTGACTTAATTTTATTTTAAGTAAAATTCATGTAAATCTGACAGACTGTAAGATGTGTAAGTAAGTCTTTATAAAGAATTTTGGAACACACCTCAGTTAAAAAAAAAAAAAAACAAGAGAAAAAACATTTTATTCATGAGTATTAATTAACCTGGATGTTATTGATTAATCTGGATATTATTAATTAACCTGTATATTATAAATTTTTCTCAAAATGTGAATACATTATGATGTTTATTTCTTTTAGAGATCTTGAAAATAATATTTAAAGAAATTTGCATAATGTCTAATGTCACTGTTTGTTAAAATATGAAAATTACTTTTAAATATTTGTGGAAAGATAAGATGAGAAAAGAATAAGTACTATGTCATAAATGTTTGCATATGTTGTGTGTTACATTGTAGTTAGTTTCAAGCTTTAATATTTATGTATGAATTTGTTTTAGTTTCATGGTCATCGTTGAGGTTGTAAATATAAAGCATCTGCACATCTCGTGCTGTAGTTCATATGTGTTACTTAACCATTTTTGATGTTAAGTATAGTTCAGGTTAGAATCTTAAGTTGTATGTCACATTAGTGTAACTTAGTTTTCTCTAGTTACCTTTCTGAAATCATTATACAATTTAATGATTTGTGTCCAAGAAGCAAGCATTCTAAAAATTCAAATTTTCTATTTATGAAATATTTAAGTACCAGTAATTTTGAAAAGAGGGATTTTTATGATAGTGTTTTAGGATAAGAATTGAAGTAGTGACTTGTAACTGATTATGGTCATGATGCTGTTAAATGTTATTTAACTAACTGAAATATTTCTGTAATACTGGAAATCACTCATTTGCAGAGTTATTATTTTTTGATGGTTAAGTCATAGTTTTCAAAACCTTCTTTCACGTTTAGGGTCCAGGACTCTTGCCTAAATAAAACTGAAGATCTCAAAGCACATTTTATGAGTCCCTTTGGGGAAAAATAACAAAAAAAAATGAAATACTAAGACTAAATGTTATAGTAGTAAGCATTAGCTTATTCTTGAGATACATATATCATGGTGATGTTTGTTATTTTTCAAAATCTGGAAAGGTATTCTTCAGAAACAATCTGCACCTACTTGAGGTTTTAGCACAGCATACACAAAAAATAATTTGATACTTGCTGTACATTAGAGTGTGAGCCTGCAAAAATTTAGCTGGTTTACCCAAAATTTAACAGCTTCAGAATGATTTTAAAATTAAATAAAATTTACTGGAGAACTGGGTTGCACAGGTCAGAAAACATCTAAAGGACAAAGAGGACGACAGACCTTAGCCTCAACATATAATATATTCCTAAAAGATGTGGGCATTTGTGTCACAAAAAGCTGTGGGTGAATCTAAGTGTACTTATAATATTAAGAGCTAATTTGCACTAATGGGGGACAAATAAAACTACCTTGAATTACATAGTTTTTGTAAGTTCTCAGCCTCTAAAGTTGGCTTTGAATCTAGTTTTGTATTATTATTTTCCTAGGTATGTGTAATGGTATGTTTCATTTTATGATTATATGTATTTTTTTTTCATTCTGTGAAATGTTATAAATTGTTCAATCAAATGCTTCTCTATAAATAAATTATAGAGTATTTAGTCAAATGCTTCTTTATAATGCTTCTCTATATGAAAATGTTTTCACACTTGCTTTTTCATCTAGTTGAACCTTTGTTAATGATAAATTTCTGTTTCCTAGTGTAATTTTGTGCATGCTGTCTTTTTTTAATATTTATTAAAGGCCAAGTTTGAAAAAGAAGCTGACCCATCAAGCTCTATTGTTAGAAATTCTACGGAGAATAAAAGCCTTTTAGCGAACATATCCACAGTTGATGAACTTTTCCAATTTGCTGTGCAAAGGTATTCTACAGCGAAAGGATTTGGTGTTAGAGAAGTTTTTGGAGAAGAGGAGGAAAAACAGAAAGATGGAAAGATATTTAAGAAGGTCAGTAGAAAACTTTTGTAAATAATTTGTAAAATATTTTAACATTTCTAAATGTATTTTATTTTTATTTGTTAATAATTGACATGAACAGTTTTTTTTTTTTGCTACTATACACAGATGCTAGGAGTTTGGGTGTAATTTTGAAGCTGAGAAATTTGTAGTATATCAAAGTTCGAAGTAGATGAGTAGTTTTGAGATAAGTATGGCATTAAATAAGTAATTAGAAGGACATGTATGGCTGGTTTGGTAACTCTTCAGATAGAAAAGTTTGGGAAATAAGATCTTGAGCTTGTGAATTTGTTTTGCACCATTCTCAAGCTTGTGCAATTTTAGACATTTTATTTCACTGAAGTTTTGTTAGGCTAAGTTGAGAAGTTTATACTTTTTTACATTTTAGTTACATTTGTTAAAAAAGATTTAGCAATAAAAAAAAGGATTTGTAGTACTCACCATCTGCACTTTAGTAAACATCTTCTCTAAGCCTTGTTAGGTCTTGCATGTAGCTTTCAAGTATGCATTTTTGAACATGAAAACTGTATTTCAGTCACTAAAATAGAATGTTCCAAAGCCAATATAATTTATCAGGCTGTCTAAGTAAGGTATAAATAAATTTTGTTACTCTTTGGAACAGCAAATATGATCAACAAAATCCAAGGAATGCTACTCAAGTATCTGCTCATAGCACCAAAACTGAATACTTATAATGTTTAAGTAGAGGAGAATCTGCTCTTTCTATTGGTTATAAACATGTCCATCAGCCTTATGAAATTGATTAGCAAACAATTTCAAAAGTTGGAGAGAGAGGAGAGCAAACATCTCTTTGTTGGATTTGACAGATTTTATTGGCATCTCAGCAATAGAAGATACAAAATTTTACCTTAGTGTTTGTAATTATTTATAGTTTGTTTATAATTGGTTAAAAACTGAATTAGGCTATCTAAGAAGTCAGGAAAATTACAAAGTGGAGAAATCTGAGCTCAATTGCCCCCACATGGCACAGAAAAATGAAGATTGAGATTTGTTTTAAATATTTCGTTTTGAAAGTAAGAAGTTAAAACTTGGATAATTCAAAATTCCGAAATGGTACTACCTCAACCCACCCAAAACAATCTCGATCAAGTCTGCCTTCCAAGTATTGCTAAAAAAATTTTAGCTCACCAGTCTTTATACCCCATCAGTTTTGCACCATTTCAGAACATGTGCTGATCATGTGACCACTCTCCACCAATTGTGCTGTGTCATCTATACTGCCCTCAACTATTCTATAACCATCCTCACTTTCTCGATCGGTAATGTAGTGTGTTTTTACTCCCTGTCTACATTACAACAAAATTGACTGTGCTTGATCACAAATTTATATCAGTTTCAACTTTAAGTTTTGACTTTTTGTGTTTGATTTCCATTGTTTCTACTCGTTTGTTTTTGTAATTTTTCTGAATTCTAATTTATTCATATGAATTTGAGATTTAATATGGTGGATGATGAAATTTCATCAACAGTCGACAATGGTTCTGGCATTAGTCCCCAAGGCTCGGGGTCAACGATGTCTGCTGGGGAAGTATGGGAGTAGATGCATTCAGTCAGGATTGGAGGGGTCTATTACATTATGATTAGGATATAACTACTTCGTGAAAATTTGTTTCTACTGCACATTCCACCTGTTACTGCAACTCCATGTAATCTCCTGGATTAGGTATTGTTCTTTTTCCCAGGAGATCTGTGATAAGTTTTTCAGCATGTATTTTTCACTCCTAGCAGGTATACTAAGGTTTAGCGAGTTTATGTGAGCTTGTGTGGATTGACCTCACCTGATAATTCAGATCTTTCATGTCTTCTCTGCTCAATATTTGGCAAGTTAGATTTTTATAATTCTTTTACCATCTAAGTTACTTTAGTTTAAATTTGCATTTCAAGTTTGATTATTACTTTGTTTTTGTTTAATTTTTGGTATATGTAGAGATTTTGCACAATAGTTGCTGTTTGGGTAATTGTAACTTCAGCCAATTTTGTGGGTGTGTTGGTTCATTATACTTTATACTTCCTTTCTGTGTTTGTTAGTTAGTTTGCAAGTTCCTTTTTTTTTATTGCAAGTCACATCTAATTGGGGATTAGATTTGAGTCAAATTTTGTTATAGTTAACTGGGTGCCTTTTCATTCTCATGTTTTTCAGGGTAGGTTTTACTTTTGTGTCCTTTGTCTTATTGATTCTTTGTGTGGACTTATAAGTTTGATATTTGTGTCTTTTATCTTCTAAGTTCCTTTAGTGGTTTTGTACTTTAGGTGTTGCTTATTGGTTTTTGTTTTAGGTTGAATTTCAGAATTTTGCAAAATCATTATTTTTATGTACTTTGTAGACACTTTTTTAGCTACACTTCACGACAGTTCCATGGGTTCTACAGGTTCTGTCTGAAGGTTTCTGTCCTCAGTTCTGCTCTCCCTCCATCCACTTCCCTCCTCCTTGGGATCGTACCTCTTTCAGTTATCTTGCCTAGTCTGTTCAAGACCTATTACACAAAGAGGTTGTAAAATGGGTAGTACCCACTCAACCAGGGTTTTACTTCTGTCTAATTGTTGTCCCTCGAGAGGCGGGAGATTGAAGACCCATCATAGACCTGTCCCAGTTGAACTCTTACTTGGAGTACAACCTCTCACTTTGGAATTTTATTTTTCTCTGGGACTCTGGATAACCAAATCATTGTGACAGATGCCTATCTGCATATTCCAACTGCTCAAGTGTCACATCGTTTTTTTCAGCTTATCCATGAGTGTTGTGTCTTCTAGTTCCAGGTGCTGCAATGTGATCCTTCTTCGGCTCCATGTGTTTTGTTGAGTGGTTTGCTCTTTTACCCATCATTCCTGCTTGACAGGTCTTCAGACTCTTATTTTCATGGACGACTGGCTCCTGCTTGCCTCTTCCCATGCTCAGTCGGTCAGTTGTGCCTGCTTACATTTTTGGTAAGCTAATCAGGTTAGGTTTTCTGATCCAGTTGGAGAAGTCCATTCTTAACTCCACTCAATGTCTTATTCCATTGGTGTTTTTTCTTCAGTTCCCATTTTCAGTGGGCTCAGCCTTCTCCACTTTGGCTCAGGGATATGGAGTGGGCAGTCTTAATAACCCTACTTTCTTCTTTTCTCACTGCTCTATTTTGAGGATGTAGACTTCCTTGGAAGCTCTCACTCTCTTGGATTGAGTTCACATGCATTCCCTTCAGTGGATGCTTCTTGACCAATTAAACTCCCTCCACGATACCTTGGACCATCCTATTACCCTACCTGCTGGGATTGGGACCGAACTTTCTTGGTGGCTTGACATGGAACTGAACACAGTGAGGGTTCCCATTCCTCTACTTTGTCCAGAGTCTCATCTGTTTAACAATGCTTCCTTGATGGGTTGAGGGGCTTTCCTCAATTCCCGAGAGATTTCTGGTCCATGGTCTGTCAAGGTGGCGACTCTGTTTTCAACATCCTGAAACTTTTGGCAGTTCATTGGGCTCTGTATCATTTCCTCCCAGTTCTGAGGGGGTGGATGTTTATAGTTCATTCTGACTATTTCACTGTCTTCAGCTATATCATCAAGCAAGGGTGAACCAAATCCAGATCTCTGTTTTTGGACTCTGGATCTTCTTTACTGGGCCCATGACCACTACTGGTGATCTTGGTGTGTCACATTCCTGGCATTATGAATCTTCATTCATCTAGGTTATCCCTTCTTCCACATGTATTTCAGTGAGTGTCCTCAACTGGGAACACCACATAAATGTGTTTGCCACTCACCGGAATGCCAGAATTCCTTCCTTTTGGTCTCGGGTTCTACGTCTTTTAGCTCTGGAATAGATGCATTTAGACAGGATTGGAGGGGTCTTCACCCATATGCTTACTCTCTCCAGAGTCTTTTTCCCTTATCCAGTCCACTCGTTGTTGTGTTCTGCTCATTGCTCCTTATTGGCCTGCTCAGATGTGGTTATCTTTGTTCTGGACTTTACTGGAGTGACATCCACTTCTCTTACCTCTGTCCCAGTCTCTCCTCCCACAACCATGATCAGACATAGTTCATTCTAATGCCATCAAACTCCATCTTCATGTGTGGTTTTTGTCTAGTCCTTTGCCTCATCTCAGGGACTCACCCTTTGTGTAGCATCTTTCCTTTCCCATTCCATTCAACCTACTTCCTTGTTTGTGTACCATAGACAGTGGTCTACCTTCAGATCTTGGTCTGTTCACCATGGCTTCCACCCCTCCCGTCCTTTGGTACATCATCTTTTCTAATTCTTTGCCTGGTTGTTTGATCAAAGTTTGTTTGTGTCAGTTGTTTTCAGTTATAGGGCTGGTTTGTCAAACAACTTCCAAATCTCCCATTTCCAGAGAGCTTTCTCCTCCCCTGATAATTCTTTCCTTTTCCATTCATTTCATCTTGTCTGTCTTTCATATCCATTTATTTTGTCATGTAGGATCTCAATTTTGACCTTCAGGCTTCATCCAGTTTTCCATTTGAACCCATTGCTGCATGTTCCTTGTATCATCTTTCCCTTAAGTACTCTTCTGCCTCTTTCTTGCTTGCAGTTGTCATCATTTAGATATTCATACCATGGATGTTTCCCACATTCCTTTCCATTCCTCTTATGTTATCCTCTATCCTGATTGGGTCTTCTTTCCTTAGATATCTGCTGTCTAGGCAGGTGGTTTGGCCTTCTCTCCCATTTCCTTACCTTCCATTTTCCACCTGTACTTACTTGTCCGGATCATTCCCTGAGATGTTATGAGGCTTGTACTGCCTTTTTTCTTGTTATCGTTCCCATCTATTTTTTCCAAGGATTCTGTCTGTGTCCCGTGGTTTGTCCCTTATTGCACCCGCTTGTTGGGTTCATCAACTCATATGACTGGCATATTCTGACTACACAGTGTTTCTTCACACCCAGTTCATCATTTAGCTATGTTTTTAGCTGCTTGCCTTTGCTGGTCTTTGGAGGAGATCATAAAGGCTGGGCTGTAGACAACCCCAATTCATTCATTGCTCATTTTCTGCATGACCTGGCTGTGTCTTCCTCAGGCAGGTGTCATCTTCCTCCTATGGTGGTTCTACACATGTCTGTTCGAGTTGGACTGGGGTTAGTTGACATATTACATTTCCTATATATTTTGGGCTCATATATATCATATTTCAGGATTCCACCTGGTGGCAGGTGTTGCCTGGTCAAGTATGCTTCATATTATAGTTGCAGTAGGTATGAATAATTCTATAATGCTCACTGTTGAGATGGGGTGTGTTTGTAAGACCACCTGCAGCTTGTTTGATGGTATGTGTATCTATATGTATATATATTTTTTAAAACTAAAATTTGATAGTTTCATTTATAAAGGATTGCCACTCATGGATCTCAAGAGTAAAGAAGATTAGGATTTCTGCCCAACCCTACTGACCCAAGATTCCTACAATCGGGGTCTGTCTGCTTTTCAAAACGAGGAATCGCAGTCACCCATTGCACTGTCTATGGTGTGTCGTTTCTCCAGAATCCCCAACACATATTCCCCCCCCTCATCTAGTGGAACACGGGAGTCCTTACCACTTCCGGTTCCCAGTTGCTAGAGTAGTGAACCATGGAAGTTTCCTCCTGAGTGGGTTTTGAAAAACAAAGTAATGCTTTCTAACCCATGTGTACCCACTTGACAAGAAGAGGGTTATAGTTTTTATAATCATTATAGTACCGAACAATGAATTATACAATAATATTCAGTATTCAAGGTGCTTCACCCGGATGTTTTTGCCTGGGTAGACTGCACTTGTTCATCATATATTTTTTATGCAAGGTGTTTCCACTGGATGATATTTGCCTGGATGGACCACACTTGGCATAATCCAACGTAATCCAAAATGCTGGAAATCGTATGAATTGATATTTCATCAATGTATTCATGGACATGCTGTGGAAGATACTATTTCTCACTGTATTTGCAGTATAAAGGAGGATGTGATTATTACGATGCAAGACATTATGGAATTAAGAATCACAACATCACTTCTTTATATGGAGTAACATTGTTGAGAGTAAGTGTTGAGTCAAAAAGAGTTTAGAAAACGTGTCTTTAAACCTTCCAAAAATATGATGTTCTGCCTTTTAACCTGGATTAAGATAGGTCTGCTTATAGAAAGCAGTAGGGTCTTAACTCTCTTTATTTACTTTTTTTGTGTGGTGTACCAACCTTTTGATCCTACAATTTTTTTTTGTATTGTTATGAATTTAGAAACACAGGAAAGCTAATGTATAGATATACAAAAAGTAAATCATTCTGTATTTTTCTCTGTAAAGACAGATCCGTCTGTTGAAGACACTAGTGCTTGAGTGTGTTTTTGTGTTTAATGTGACTACCGATCTTTTTTGATGTTACATGCTTTTTCTTAGTATAAACTTGAAATACAAGGTACTTAAGAAAGAAAAAAGTTTGAAGTCTGACAATAACGAATCTTAGGAAAATCCTTTTTTTGGAAATGATTACATATTTTTTTAAATCTTGCATTCTGTCCTATATGCTATTCCTATATGGATGAAGAGGGAATTTGAATTATTAGGTAATACTGTTAATTATGAACTAAATAGTGTTGGTGAATAATTTAGGAAATGGATGTAAAAATTAACCATAAACTGAATATTGTTGTGATTGGAAGAACAGTATTTTCTCAAAGGTGTATTTTGGGATTTACATAGTTTTAATTATTTCACTGATTTGAATACTTACATAGAGCATGAAACTAGCTTTTTTGACAACTAGCAAAATGTTTGTCAGTTATTTTAAAACTTACTTGTAAAATGCCAGCCACCCTGGCAAAATAAATTCATGAGTTGTCTGCCATTAGCAGATATGACTAATCAGTTGATACAAATATGTATAAAATGTTGTATTTCAAATATCATATTTAATAATATACTATAATGATTTACACCAATGCTTTTGATTATAATTACATTTTTTGATGTGAAATTAAAAACAAAAGCTGAAAGTCTGCTTGAAATGCTGTTTTCTTGCTATTTGAAACTTGAGGAATCCACTAGATGATGCAACCAGGAAAGGCATAGTGATTGATTATTGCAATATGTTTTTTACTCATAATTGTTGTATTGCAGCTTTTTTGAAAATAATTTTGAGTGTTGTTTATGGTTTATGCACAATTAGTGTGAATATGCCTGGATTATTAACTGGCAAAGAAAAACAAGAAAAAAAACATGTTGGTGCCCTTTGATCACTAGGACTCACTGGCATTTTTTAAAGCTAGCCACTATTAGTTTCAAGCCTTGCTGCTTAAGCAACTGACCAAAAGTGATAAAGTTGTTTAGAATGTATACTGTTAAAGATATTTGAGCAGAGAAAGCTGGGAGCTATGTAACGTTTTTCTTTCCTTCTAATATTTATGAAAAATCTGGTGTGATTTACATTTTACTTTTTGCTGATATTTTAAATAGTGCATTCATAGTAAGGAGATAGAACCTGGTGATTTAGTATGAATAAGAGTAATTTATGATATGAAAATTTAAAAATCTTTTTTTTTTTTTTAAATTGACAGACATTGGTGTAATTATTGATAAAATTTTAACTTTAGAGCATTTAATTATGATGAAAAACAAATTATGGAATGTATTTATAGAACTGTTACATTCAGAGTGAGAAGGTTATTGTCAATCTGTATTATTGATATTAGTTGGTTTATAATTTAAGGTATTCATCTTCTGAAATTACTTGTATTAGTTTAATTTATTTGATTTATATTTAGCTTAAAAATTAAATTTTAGAAAGATAAGACCTGGTTACTATGTTACAAACAAAGCATATTTAATAACTGATAATGAAATTACATGCACACATCTTTGATTTTTAATACAAGAAATGAGCTCATTTGGTTGCTCAGTGTTTCCTATTGTAATCGGTGGATATGCATCTGTGGTTTAAAAAAAAAATTATATATATATAGAAATATTGGTTAGGATGTCTGCGTCACAGTATTAAGAAGTTCAGTGTAAGCTTAAGTCCCATTTTACACAGAAATAGAATTGCATTTTCTTAGTTTTCACACTCATTCTAGAATATCTAATATTAAATATACCTTTCATCTTTGACCAGTTAATCCTGGGAGATTACACCTGGTATACTTACAACGACATTGACAAGATGGTAGAGAATTTTAGTAAGGGTTTACTGACTCTAGGTTTGGAATCCAGACAGAATGCTGTAATATTGGCAGAGACTCGTTTAGAATGGTTTGTAGCTGCCCAAGCTTGTTTTCGAATTGCAGTTCCAGGTATGTAATTTATGCTAATACTTCCAAGAGAATATTTGCAACATGAAATGTAATTATATACAATTATTATAATAACAAAACTTGCATTCAAATACAATATCTTACCTCCCCTTACATAACAGCTTTTCATGGCTTGTATTACTCTTTATATGCACAAATTTTCACTCGCCACTAGCCTTTATACTCCTATCTACTCTCTCATGCTTTCACTTGAGGCAGCCACATGACAACCCTCTACCAATAGGAGCAGGACACAACTCCTAGCACAGCTGGCTCCTTCTATGCAGCTTAGCTCAACTTCACTTCTCAATTGGCACTCATGGTGTTTAGATGTGCTTTTTGCTCAAACTTTATTCCTGGAATTTCAATCAATTACTTGTTTTTTTGGAGAACTTAGCTTGTTTTCATTTCTTTAGTTTGTTACACTTCAGTTTTCTAACTTTTTGTTTGTGCACTTTAAAATTACGTGTTTTTAATCCTTTTTTCTGAGCTCCCTGTGTGGATTTTTTTTCTTCTTATTTTGACTGATAGTTATCATAAATTCAGGATTTAATGTTATTATAGCTACTACTGCTGCTGGTTACTCTTTATTTACAGTGGTTTCGGTTCTACAGTTATTGGCAGAAAACATTATGGTCTTGGTTTGCTGAGAGTTGGCTACTTTCACGTGGACTTCAGATTTCCCTGAAGGTTATCCTGTCATGCCTTGTTCAGGAGTACCTGAACAAGAGGGTGATGATGATTTTGACAGCTTGTTTTCTTCCCCATCCTATGCCACATTTCCTCCTCTCATTCTCCAACTGCATGAGAGGTTGTATCTCTTTTGGGGATGTGGGCTTTTTTGGAGGCCCTCATTCCCTTCAGTCGAGCTTACATGCAACCTTTTTGGTGGGATTTCCAAGATCAATGGCACCTTGTTTAGGGATCCCTTGGACACCCCTATTCATCTCTCTCCTTCCCTACATGTGGACTTTTCCTGGTGGTTGAACCAAGACACCACCATAGGGGGTATTTCTCTTCCTCCTCTGGAGGTGCACCTCTTTACGGATGCTTCTCTTTCAGATTGGGATGCATATCTGGACATATAAGAGCTTTCAGGCTGTTGATCTATTGATGAGTTCTCTTTGTATATTGAGCCTTGGAATTGCTTCCCGTCCATAGGGCTTTGTTTCTTTTCCTTCCATCTCTCTAGAACCGATTGGTTATGATCCATTCCAACAACTCCATGGATGTCTTGTACATCATTAGGCATGAGGGCACTCAGTCAAGGTCTGTTTGTTTCCACATGTTGGACCTCCTGTTTTGAGCCCACAGCCATCAAGTTCGTTTGATGGCTTGTCATATACCAGATGCCCTGAATCTTGTTGTGGATCATTTATCTCACCATAGTGAGATTCTTCCTATGGTGTGGTCTCTTGAACCTAGGTGTTTAGTGGGCTGTGTTCACATAGGGGTATAACAGAACTGGATGCATTTGCCACCCACCTGAATTCCAAGTTTTCCAGGTTTTGGTCATCTATTCCTCTTCCTTTTGCTATAGCTTTTGATGCCCTCAGTCAGGATTGGGGGACCACTATCTTTATGGAAATTCTCCCATTTTTCTTCTTCCACATGCCCTAGCCATCATACAGTCTACTCTGTGTCAAGTTCTCTTGGTGGCTCCAATTTGCCCAGCACAGCTGTGGTTTCCACTTCTGTGCCTGCTCCTTCTGACACCTTCTCTTCTCACCCACCCTCCTCAGACAATCTCATTTGTGTGAGCTACATCCTTCTTTTCTCATGCTCCTTCTTCAAGCATGACTTTTGTCAAGTTACTTGTCAGACATGTTGGACTACCCCCGAGGGTTACTTTCCTAATTTCCCATTCAGTGTGCCCTTTCTCCTTGTTGCACTGCTCCCTTCCATGGTTCCTTTCCTGTGATATTTCTCCTATTACTCTTATTTGTTGGAATCAACATCTGATTCATCTGTCTTATTCTTCCTTTTCTCCTTATGATTGCTGTCTCTTCCAAGTCTCCTTCCAGCAAATCTATCATCGTACCTTGCCCTTGGCTGCCCAATTCTGTCATCCTTTAGAAGATATAGTTTGTGCTGGCATTTTCACCACTCCCCATATGCGTATCTTGAATTATATGCATCATCTGGCATTTCCTGCTCTACAGGTTAGTCTATCTCCCATTGCCATCTTGAGCTTCATGGTTTCTCTATGGGTGGGTAGGTAATATTTTTTTATAGCGATCTTTTTCACATATACAGATCCCCATTCTATGGCGAGTGTTGCCTGACCAGGTATACCTATTCTTAAACCCACACTGTATAGCCATTCAGGTCAATAATTTCCAATGTTTAGATGGATTGTTCAACAAGACCACTTTTAGGTCTTTCCTTGCATTTTTTGTGTTATAAATGTTAGACCTGGACTGTACCCTCATAGACTAACATGAGTAAAGCAGAAGGGGATTGATGCCCATCCCTGCCACTCCATGGTTTGTCTGTACCAGGAATGGTCTGTTTTCGATATAAGGTTTTGCAGTCACCTATTGCACTGTCTTTGGTGTTGCATTCCTCCAGACTCTCCAAAACATTCTTTTGTATTCTTCCAGTGGAGTATGGGGGAGTCCTTACCACTTACCAGCTCCTAGTTGCTGGGGTGGTTGGCCATGGAGGCTTCCTCCTGAGTGTGCTCAATTCCACTCAGTTGAGAGTAGGGCAGTAGTGTTCTGCTGGTGTAGTTGGTGTATAGACACTCCTCATATATCAGACCTGATGTTCTTTCCAGATGCTGCCTAGTTATGGACTGGATGACTTCTACCACAGTGCACTTCACCGCTACAGCTGGGTACCCTCCTTCCTACAGTCATGTGGATTTTGGTTCCCAGGGGTACTGGTGTTGGTTGGAACTGGATCAGCCACATGAGTTTTCACATGTGAGAGGTATCCTCCTCCTACTGCAGACTGTACGATTCATTCCCAATGCCACCTGATTCTGGACCTGGACTAGAGTTGAACTGCCACATTGCTGTCCACCTTCCTACTGTTGTCCACATGGCAGTTCTCAGGGGTTACTGGTGTTGGTTGTGTTGAACATGCACACATGATGATACAGGTCCTTGGAATGGAAGATCTTCCCTTCCAGTTCCTGTGTCTGAGGTGAACAGTAGAGGCCCCTCTTCCTATCATGAGCCAGGTATTTGTATTACAGTACAGTTGGTGTTGATTGAAGTAGAACTCACCATTATAGTCCACCATGCCCTATCCACTCTACACCAGGGGTCCTTTCATGTAATATGAGGTTCCTCCTGTGATTTCACTGTTATTGTGATACATTAATTTCACAAGTGAAGAGTATACTTGGTTGAGAACTAGTGCAGTTCCCGTGGGTATGTTTTACATATTCTTTATTCACACACCCCATGAGCTTCCTTCATGTGCTTTCTGAAGAGGGCTCATCTAGGTCATGTTACACCAGTCCCTCCACCAGATCAATGTGGGATTCTAGCTGTTGTGTGAGAAGTTAACATTTTCCTACACTGAAAATGTATTTCCAATAGATCCTTACCTCCTCTCCCATTTTCCATCCTTCTCCCCCCCCCCCTTTTTTTATGTTGCTCAATTTCGAAGTGAAGTTGAACTAAGGTGCATAGAGGGAGTCAGCTGTGTTACACTCCTGTTGGTGGAGGGTTGTTGCAGGCTCAATTGCTTGCTATCATGCAGCTGCTCATGTGAAAATGTGAGTGTAGGTGGGAGTATCAAAACTAGTGGCAAATGAAAATTTGCACATATAAAGGATAGTACAAGTTGAGAAACACTGTGAACGGAGGTTATAATCTACTGGAAATACATTATCAATGAAGGAAAATGTTAATTTTTAGCTTTAGCAGTCTTTCACTATACATATTTTATTAAAGGTATCAAAATAAGATTTGTTGATTATGTTGACATTTGAAATAGCTGTATTAAATAAACATTTATAAAATTCCATGATTTTAAGTTATTTATATTAAATCAAATAAACATTTGCATCTGTTTAACAAAGAGTTATGGTACTCTTCTGTTTGTTGCTTATGTGAATCGTAATGGATACTGGGATATTTGTTTTTATCCAGTGGTGACTCTCTATGCCACACTGGGAGAAGAAGGAATTGTACATGCTATAAATGAAACTGGAGCTAGTCTTTTGATTACTTCACAAGAGCTAATTCCTAAAATTCAGGTATAGTGCACTTTGTACATCTCTTCAACAGATTTTTATTGATTAACCTTACCAGGACAGGTGTGCAGCTTCCAGGGTATAAGTGCACACCTCAATATCAATTTCAAGATTTAAGTATAAAATGTAGTTTTAACTGTTCAACAGATTTTTTTTTTTTTGATATTCAAAAATATTTCTGAATTGATATTTAATTATTATATATCACTTTCAAAGGGTAAAAATTTTTTAAATGCTCCATCTCTCTTTTTCATGCAGCTCTGAGAAGTCTTACTTGTGAACAATGCATTTCTTGCTTTGTTTAATTTTTTTAATTTAAAAATTCATCTGCTCATACCAAAGTACAGGTGTGTTTAGTAAGAAACTATCATGTATTGTTTCTCATGTGATTTTAATTGTCAGTCGTATTATTAGTACATCTTTTCACTGTCACCCTTATGATGTCACAAAATGTAGTTGGAACAATTACTGATGTAGCTCAACTTTGAAAATACCTAGAGTTAATAGTAAAAAAACAACTGGATTAAAGATATTTTAATCTAATATATTTGTGCTTTGTTGAAATATGAACTACCCAGAACTCCCTGAGGGGAAAATTTTTTCTTTTATAATTTCTTCTGAAAAATGTTTTCAGGTTAAATTATATCTTGTAGATAGCAACAGGAATTTTCTTCTATGACAAAACATCAGATAATTTGTCTACTGAGTACATTAAGCAATGGCAAACTACTTTGACTACAGTCAGTTTTTACTGAATGTTATTGTTAAATATGTCATGATCAAACAACATGCTCAAATAAAATAACTTGTTATTTATTGAAAATAAAATATAATGAATAGGTACAACTAAACTCAACTAAGAATGTTGTTACAAAAATCACAATACCAAAGGTATTAATTATTATTAATTGACAAAGGTGAGGCTTGAATTAACAGATTTTTTTTGCCATGTTTTTTATTATTTATAGATTAAAGGGGTGCTTCAGCTGGTAAAGTATGAAGAGTGAATAGGGCTAGTTTTACCATTTTATTTTTAGTCATCATATTAACAAACAAATATGAGTATTATGTTTTTATCAATATAATATTTTTTCTCTTGTTATCTAATATGGTTAAATTACTGTTGCTGTAACTAAACAACTGTAGAGTGTTACTGCTGGTTTTGTAGGGACATTAACAGTATCATTATTCTGCAATGTAGTAGGTGCTTCTTTTAGATGTAAACCTGCATAGTTACTTTTACATTAATTTGTAAAATATATACTAATAATAATATATACACACAACTGTTTTAACCAAAAGGTTGTCATTATTTGTTTTAGAATTATAAATATTTTGGACGTTTGTTTACAATGATTAAATGTAAATAATACAAACAGTCACATAACAGTGAATCACTTTTTTAAAACTTTGTAATTTTGATTTCTTTGTTATCATTTGAATAGAGTCCTTATTGTAAGAAGTGCACTTGTCCTTCTGTAAAGCTAAAACTTGGTAGAAATTAACTCTTTTAACCATAAATTTAATCTGCTCGTCTTCAAAAATTATTTAACTGATTACTTTTCATTGAATTTTTGGAACATGTTTGAGGATAATGTGCAGAGAAATTGTATTTTCCCAATTCTAGAAAGCTTTTTCTCAGCTTCTAAGTATCAAGAAGGTAATCTTCATGGAAGGGCACCGGAAGCCCAGGTTAGAAGCATTTCCAGAATCTGTGCAACCTCTTTCTTTCTCAGAGGTAAAGTCCATGGGAGAAAATTCTGAAAAAGGTATGCTGGGTTTAATTTCAGTGTCTTCTTTTATTTATTGATTCATTTTTATTTTGTTACATGATTTGAATTTTGTTTTAGTTTATTACATGCTATAGAAGTTTAAAATGCAGTTGCCAAAACAGAGGCTCTTGTCCTTCCAGTTATGGAGTCTCCTTACAGCATGTTTGTCAGTGCATGGTCCAGGTTGTGTAGCACTTTCCCTAATTCTGAACCACTGACTACAGGAAGGAAACTGATCAGCAGCAAATAAAATACTTTTGTATATTGTAAAGATATTGTGATAACTTTGAATTGAACATTAGGATAAGAGAGGAATTATATGAAACATATGTACCACTTAATTTTGAATTGCTTATTGTCCAGTTTTTGTATTTCATAATTCTGTTTTATTTTTGTATTACCAAAGTATGTTTTCTGTGTACATGAATTTTTAAAGGTGTACTTTAAACGGCATTGTTTTCTCTAGCCCTTAATTATGACACTCCTGCTCCTGAGGATGTTGCCATAATCATGTATACTAGTGGATCAACAGGCACACCCAAAGGTAAGCATTCACAGAGCCTGTGTTTTCTGTCCATTGAATTCATTTGTTATTAGGTTACTTAAACTACTTTGCACTGAAACTTCGCTTGGGTATATTTGATATCTTTTTAAGAAATATAAAACTTTAACAGCTTTAGTAAAAATCAAAAGTTTCATCATTATTGAAAATAGAGAATAAAGATTTTTGATAAAGAAAGTTAAGAAAGCTGAGCGAGGAGGGGTTATGGGGATAATCCTTAGTATGTAACAATTTATTTATAGAAACAACACTACTTAAGATATATTTGGCTGTAATCACAATTATATCTCAAATGTAGCCAGCTTAGGAAATATGTATTAGTCCTAATACTACTTACTTATCAAATAATGTCAAATAATTTTCACGAGTGGAGATTTATAATCAAACAATTTTCGTACTAGACTTGACTAATCGCAATGAAAAGTAGAATAAATGATTACTTACATACCATAAAATGTACCAGTTCTTTGCTGTTTATATCAATATGATTTGTCAATACACAAAATGTAATATGCAGTTAATAAACTTGAGGGATAATCAAAGTTTTCTAGATTCTAGCTATAGCAAGGCACAACTACTGTTATTTAATAATGGCAATGATATTGCTCTGTTCATTTTTATGTGAAACAAGTGTCGTGATCTAAATGTATATGTCTGTCTACAACTGCTGATCTGGTACCACAGATCTTGCACTTTGCAGCTCAATAAATGATCAGATAAGACTTATAAATATGGCATACAATTCTCTCAAACACTAATGGAAGTTGTCCATAGATGTGGTGTATTTATAGTGTTTGAATAAATGAGTTTTTGAGTGATATGTCCCATTTGTCTACCAGTTACTTTCAGCTCATCAACACTTCTTGGAGGTGAATCGTGCTGCCAGGCAGCATTCCAAAACATTCCATACATTTTCTTCAGATCCAAATCCAGTGAGCAGGCTAGTCAATACATTTGTTCAATATCCTTTTTGTCTGAGATGATAACTGACCCCTCACTCAGAAATGCTAACTTCCTTGCATATCTGGCGATGAGATTTGAGATAGCTCCCACTTAAATTTATGATTAATGTGAACAGCACTGGTGTATGATGATGATAATGTCATCATGTGTCAAAAGCCCTCCACCAATAGGAGGGTGACTCTCTCTATGCATTTGCAATCATGATAATTTCTTCTTCCTTGCATTTTACAGATATGTTCAAATTTTTCAGTTGATGAGATTTGGTGTTCACTTTCTATGGCTTTTGATTTTGTTTCAAAAGCTTTAATTTGTTATCATTCACAAGTAACAGTGGTTTATGCTTAGTGCTATGTGAGTGATAATATTACTCACACAGGCCTTATTTCAACCACGGCTTTTTAAGGCTTGTTAACACTCTCACCATGGGCAGGTCAAAGGGTGCATGTTACAACGTTTTTTAGACAGTTAAATTGCAAATTTAATTCAACTACTATAATATCATTATGACACATGGGGCTCATTTGTCTCTTTCCCCCATTAACTGTATCTGCCTGGTCATCATTTTCTGCACATGTCATGAGGTTTTAGTGGCTTACATTCAAAATTTTATTAAACTACTTTTTGTTTATGTTATACCAATTAGTACAGCATAAAATCATAGCTAATAATCCATATTTTAATAGTATATAAGTTTTAAGTTCATAAGGCAATATTAAAAAAATCCTGCATTTTTTCTAGTGTGAGAAAGGTGACACATTTTCTGTAGTCATCCCATCTTCTCCATTTTATTCACCACCCCTCCAATAAATACCACATTTAACATAAATTACTCACTACAAAATCGTCATTGCTCATACAAACCATAATTTTTATAGCTTTCAATGTTGTTTGGTTACAGAGCTATCAAATCGAAAATCAAACCCCTCTTGCCACACCCACCTGTCACATCCTCTCTTTCAGGATTTGTTAATAGTTTACTCTTACGTTTAATCTCTATATCATCTACAACCAATAGAAAGCCAAGATTTTCATCTATCAAATGATGTATTATATTACATTGTGTTCTAAACAGAGAATTGTGAATTTCTCTAGTATAAGCTTCTTCCCACGGGAAAAATATCAATTAGCTTTGATAAATTTGTAATGATAAATTTTGTAGTTTCAAAAAAATAAAACATTTAATTTTGATTCTTTCTACTATTTCTAATAAAAATTTATTTTATGTAGTTATTTGTACTTGGACTCTGAATAGTTCACCTGCAAAGTGCTTTTGAAGTTTAGTATAAAAATACTATTTATTATCTTAGTTTGTACATTTCACTTGCATAATTTCTAGAACCTCCTAAATGAGTATCAAAAGTTTTTTGTTTTTTTGAGGTAAATGTTTATATTTTATTTTTTCATTTTCTTTACTATATCACAAACTCTAGTTATTATCAGCAGTCTGAAATGCAATGAAATGTTTATAATTAAGAAATTGAAATATTTACTTATCCTCTATCTCTTTGTTGAATAATCTTAAAATATCTTCTTTGGGTCATATGTGTAATTTCAATCTTTACCTTTTCTAATTTTTTTTTTTATATTTTCCTTTCCATTTCTTTATTTTTTATGTCAGTGCACTTTAATAGGTACCTGCAGGTGATATATAACATTATAATCGGCGAAGAGTCCACTTCAGCCTATGGCAAAATGTCTGCTCTCTCTCTTTTTTTTTTTATAACTCTTGACCAGAGAAGTGATGAGTAGAAAAACTTCAATGATCATTAAACCTTTCAAATATTAATTTTATAACACAAATAATACATAATTAACTAAAATGTACAAGTAAAACCTAAATTCAATTTAACTGTCTATCAAACTAATATGTATAAGATGCAAAAAACCCAAGTACTAGGGATATGGATGTCGCTCTCAATAATGAAATAGGCTTTTTTTCAACTTCCTTTGTAAAATACAAACATCTCCTAACTTTCCTACCCTCCGTACAAAATAAAGCAGGAAATCGGCTTTTCTTATTGGTTACAAGCATGCCATTCAAGTTAAAACTATCACTTAGCAACAAAGCTTCAACATTGCAAGTGGGAGTGGCTTATCTTCAACTGAAGAATTTTTACAACAGTTTCCTCTGGGAAAAGATCTTGGAATGTACTTGAATTATTTGTAAACTTGTATATGCTTTTCTTTGAATATCTCGAGAGAATGTGTACGTTATATATACACACACACACACACACACACACACACACACACACACACACACACACACACACACTGAGACTCGACGACGACACGACGGAGGGATAGG